TAGTGCTGGGTATCGAGTGAACAGTACTCGAAATCGTTGAAATTCCAGTCGTGGGAGAAAACGACTCAGAGACGGAAGATGATGAAGATAACGGAGTAACCGGCTCGACCAGCGTCGACTTGGTTGAACTCGACGGAGCGGTCGATGTCGTAACAATGACACTTGCTGGAGTGATTGAATTGGTGGTTGAAGATGGTTTAAGGGTTGAAGCAGTTGTCGACACTGGTCTAACAGTAGTAGTTGAAACTGACAGACGAACAGTTGTAGATCGAAAAGAAGGAGTGGCCCTAGTAGCCCGAGTGGTCCGATAAGAAGATGGTGGCTTTATCGTAGTACTCGAGGAAAAAGCTCTAGAAGGATGAGCTGTAGCAGTGCAAAGCCCTGACAGAGATCGGCATCTCGGTAGGAACGAAGCGCTGCCACTCTCGTCGATAGCTGAAATCCATCCTCGGGGAAGACGTCGTGGTAGATCTTCGGTACCCCGGTACCACCACGCGTCGAGATGGATATCCAGACTCAGCTGAACTAGGTTGATGAGGATGACGTTTGTAGAAAGCAGAAACAGTCAGTCCAGATGATCGAAAGACAGGCCTGGATGTTGTGGAGGTAGTTGTCGACGAAATTGGAACAAAAGTGGAAGTCGATCGAGCAACGAAGCTGCTTGGAGTTGTGGACGAAACAACCGGAGCTTCGGAAACCTCCTCCGCGGTGTCCTCAGTGGTGGAATTCTGAAAAGGTTCCGCCTCCATGTGCGAACGCTTCGTCATGTTCGCTGAGTGAAGCTGAGTCGGCTCGAAATTGTTGGAATACAGATGACCTACAGTCTTCTGTAAAGTAGCTGTAACATTCTCAGTATGATTATGAATAGCCTCTAGGCAATCTCTGTACCCGGAAAGCCCTGATCTGAAGGACTTCCGCCTCTAGATCAGTGTTCACAAACGACCCTGAAAGACTTCCGTCTTTCAGAAGTGATACTCTCCACTAAGGTATATATACTGGTGATAAAGACTCGCTCAAGCGAGGAGCTACTGATTCACAACGAATCCCTGTATCTTTATTCCGCCGTGATCTTCCAGGCTCACAGCTTACTTTCAGATCTAGTGTCCACCGACTGACCACCAGTGGGTTATATCCAACATTCGTTATTGCGCTGACTTTCTTAGTGAGTGACTCGTTTGTGTTCTTAGTGAAACAACGGTGCATCCTCGAGAAGTGCAAATGGCAACTCGAGACAGACAACGAGCACAGGAAGATTCCACTAGCTCCCACGGCTATAGTGACTTAGGCGATGATCAGCCCGGGCCATCAGAACTAAGCTTAGGCGATACTAAACCACCAAGGGGTGATGACGACACGGGAGACATCGGCGAGCTCCATATCGCGACACGAGCTCGCAGCCGTGATATTGTGATCCTGAGACTTGACGGCAGCAACTATACGGAATGGCGTGTGCTTATCGCTCCAGCTCTGGATGCAGATCCATATGCACTGGAGGTGGCGATGGGAGATCTCATCCCTCCTACCCCCGGCCCCGGATCAACGGACAAGGCCTCTGTCATCCAGCAATGGAAATACGATGCAGGTAACCGGGCGGCCCGATGTACGCTTTTCGCGTCACTGCAGCCTGCTCTGGCTGTATCCATGTTCCCCGGCAATTCGGCGACGGTCGCTGCCTCTGAGATGTGGAGTGACATTACCGGTCGGTTCACCGCCACTAACGGTGGGCTTAAACGACTGGCGATGTCCAAACTCACGAGTTACACCTACCAACCGAATAAAACCGCCGGTGAGAATCTCTTCCGTTTCAACCAGATCATTTCCCGCCTAGCTGGTCTAGGACTGGACATCCCGAATGATCTGAAGATCACATTGCTGCTGGACGCTCTCCCACCTAACTGGGAGTCCTTCAGACAAGGATTCACCTCGAGAGATGAATCTGCCAAGTCCTACTTCCACCTGCAGGCTGGGATTGAAAGTGAGGCTCTGAGGCAGGGGAAGTTCGAGACGAATGAGATAACAGCCTTGTTCTCAAAACTTCGTGGCCCCGGCCCTAGGACTCACTACAAGAGAAGACACCATCGTAACGGCCATGTCACCCGTACAACAACCAACACCACCGAAAGAACCTGTTACAACTGCGGTAAGAGCGGGCATATGATAGCTCAATGCAGTGCTCCAAAGCAGAACAGAAACTTCGGTCAGACCCGCCAGTCTTCGGGTCAGCAAAAAAAGGGCTTCAAAATTCAAGTCTGTCGAAAATCAATCATCAACAACCAAGGGAGGACCCTTGTTCAAGCCACCAGGAAAAATGGTCTCTACTGGTTATACCCCAGCAGCAACGCCAAAGGCTTAAAAGGCTGAAAGTGAGAAAATGAAAGGTCAGCCTAACACAGATGCATCGTAACTTCGCATATATCAACGTCGTGTGGTTAGAGTCAATGTTGGAAAGGGAGGGATATGAAGTGATCCAAGATTTTGTCAATTGTGACAGTTGCATCAAGGGAAAGATGCACAGCGCTAGTTTCATCAGAAGCCTTCTAGCTCACTTGCCCCTCGTATTGAATGGATTAACAGTGAAATGTGCTCCGTGAGTACACTCTCACGTGGAGAACACAACGCCTTCCCTACATTGACGGACGATCATAGCAGCTTCCGGAAAAAGTACTTCATCCGTAACAAATCCGAAGTGTATGATCGCATCAAAGACTTTCTCAAGAAGTTCGAGCTCCGAAAAGGACACCAGGTACATCACCTCCATTTGGACGGCGGCTCAGAGTTCCAGAATAAAAGACACTAGGATCTTCTGAAGTCTTCTGGCTGTTACTACTTGTACAATGCTCCATATACCTCTCAACACAATGCGGTCAGTGATAGGATCAATGGAACGCTATTGAGCCTAGCTCATAAGATGATCATTGACTGCAAGTTGGAAGAGGGTGTATGGGCCGAAGTGGTCAACTTCGCCATTATCTGTCTCAATATCACCAAGATTATTGAGCCCCCTGGAAAGACCCCGTTCGAAATGATCACTGGCTATAAGCCATACCTTGGTCTTGTCCGTCGGTTTGGTACCTGACGCTGGTTCTATAACATAAAGCCAGTAAGGGACAGACTCGACAATTGGGCTATTGCAGGAGCAATAGTTGAATTTGATGAAGATGGGTTGAGCTACTGAATTCTGGGAAAAGGAACAACCATTGTCCGTCGCATCCGTGATGTCGACACCAGAGAACCAGCTCCGCTTCATGGCCATGAATATCAACTTCCGCCATCACCACCAGAAAAATTCAACCGTCAACGACGAGGCTCCTGACGAAGAGAAAGCAGAAGAGGGAGTGAAAGAAGAACCCTCTCCAGAAGTCGACGGCGATTAAACCGACGCTAACGACGATGTCTGGCCACCAACACGGAACGTTGACGAAGAGCTCGGAACAGCTCCCAGCGAAGAAACTACTCCTGCCGAAGACACGCGTGCCTAAGTAAAGAAGAAACGGCAAGGACGGACAACTGTTCCAGACGAGGGTCGCAAGTACAGTTTACATGATAGAAGTAAACTAAAGGCACCTGAACGATATGAAGCAAGCCCAGCATTTCCCTCCACAAGTAGTACTTCGAATATGATTAACATAGATAAGTCTGATATGCAGGTAGACGTACCTTTCAGCTTAGAAGATGTTAATCGGTCAAAGTATAAGGCTAAATGGCTTGCCGCCATGGCGACCGAACTTGAATCGTTCAGAATGAACCAGGCGTACACCCTGGTTCAGGCAGCTCCAGGACAACAGGTCCTGAGCAATAAATGGGTTTTCTCTTTGAAGAATGATAAAGATGGTAACATTGTTAGAAGGGTCGAAACCCTGAGGACGGTTTTGGTAATCTCAGCCTCAGAAGGGCTTTACCTTCATCAAGCAGATGTCTGCACTGTCTTCCTCTCAGCCTCACTTGATCGCAGGCGGTATATGAAACAGCCGGCTGGCTTTGAGGATGGAAGCACCAGGGTCTGTGAGCTAAAGAACGCAGTCTATGGTACTCATCTTTGTGGATGACTGTTTGCCGGCAGCCAGCAGTGAGAAAAGGATTGAGGATCTAATTGAAGAACTCCAGAATACATTTGTGCTCACCACGAAACCGCTTGGTGGATCTTCCTGGGATTGAGAATTCAAACCTCTCCTGATAGAGGGAGGACCAGGATCAACCAGGCTCAGTACATCAATGAGTCCTTGGAGAGATTCCAAATGGTAAATTGCAAAGAGGTCTCAATTTCAATCGATGCAACCTCAATGTATGCATTCGAAAGAGAAGTAGATCTCTCTCGGTACTTGGACAAACCAACACACCCCTTGTGAAATGTGAGGCTAAGAGTTCTTAGATACGTATCTGGAACTAAGAGTTATGGAAAGTGAAATAGCCGCATGCATTGAAGTGGCCAAATCATGCTTGTGACTCACAAGACTTCTGGAAGAAGTCGGCCTTTCCATCGTTCCTGTACCGCGTGTAGACAATACAGGCTGCATCCAATTTATTGCTCACCGAAGCACAGGTGACCAAGCGCTCAAAACATACTGAAGAGATTGAAGAGAAAATAGAGGAGGGCATGTTAAAAGACGAACATTGTCCCACTGACTCTAATATCTCTGACCTGGGCACCAAAGACCTACTAGAAACTAGGTTTGTCTCTTTACGGAATCTTGCAGGGATAGTACAGTACAAACTCGATTATATCACACTAAATTATATCACCCTAAAAATTTCAGAACTCGATTATATCACCCTCCTGATTTTCTCGCCACGACTCGATTATATCACCTAAGAAAGCATCCGAATGCATTTTTCCGAATGTCCCATGCCTGAAATTCTCAAAAACTCGATTATATCACCTTCACGACATACCAATGTCCCCGTGTATCAAACCTGGCATCGGCTTGATGCCGGATGCAAACATCCATCCAATCAAGAAAAACTCTTTTCTATAACGATAGAGGAAACGTGGATTCGAGGCACTAGTTCGTGCCCATTGCAAAAGCAGCGGTTCGCAATCGGGCAAGTCGAATCAAATCGGATAAATCGCAGTTTTGTTGCGATTCGAGCCACTGCAAGGGCGGTCTGCAAAGCGTCCGCTGCTTGCGCAGCGGTCGGGACATCCGGCGGAGGAGAATCGTCCTCTTCTTCCTCTTGTGAGTCTTCCTGCGTATCGGCTCCTGACTCCCCGTCGTCTGCGTAGACTGCTCGAACCTCCTCGACGATTTCGTCATCGGTGAGATAGTGATGCCCAGTATCAGTGGAGTCGCAAGCCAACCACTCCATATGTTCTCCGGATCGCAATCCATGAATCCAGGGACCTTACGGAGTTGCTCCCCAAGGATCACAGGCTCGACGAAATCTTCGATAGCATCCGGAGCGCAATCGACCTGCCTCCAGGGCAAGACTTTGTTCCAAACATTTTGCAGAGTAGTGGTCTTAACAGATGCCCATGCCTCGGCCAGCATGTAGCAACAATCCTTTAGATTGATGATCTTGTTGAAATCTCGCATTAAGGCGTTGTTCCCATCATCGAGGGCAAACAGTCGAATCATGATTTGCTTTCGGTACATTCGCTTCAGGCATTCAATCGCGCCTTGGTCCATGGGCTGAAGAAGCGCGGTTACATTCGGAGGCAAAAAAATTACGACGAATTTTCCATTCTGTGTCGGCAACATATCGATCGGCGGATGGGATGGGGCATTGTCCAACAGCAGTAACACCTTGCCTTCCTTGCCGAGAATCCTCTGATTCTCTTCGACTTCGCGAATGAAGACGTTCTGGTACCAGTCGAGAAAGATCTCGCGATCCATCCATGCCCTCTTCTGCGCTCTGTATTCCACCGGAATGCGAATGTTCTTGAAGCACCGAGGGTTCCGTGATTTACCAATGATCAACATCGAGATCTTGTGACGACCTGTGGCATTAGCGCACACCATCGCGGTGACTCGTTCTTTGCTACTTTTGTGCCCTGGAGCCGTCCTTTCATTCCGAGCTGCCAATGATCTGCTGGGCAAGGCCTTATAAAAGAGTCCTGTTTCATCCGGGTTGTAGATGAAATCGAGATCGAAAGCTCCGTCGTGCAGGAGACCATTGACTTCGGACACGAATCGTTCAGCAGCTTCCACGTCGGAGGACATCCTCTCACCTTGGACTTCCAATTCTCGGATCCCATGGCGGTTCTTGAACTTTCCCAACCAACCTTGACTTGCTTTGAACTCAGGGTCCCCTCCAAGCTTCTGATTGAGCTCCAGAGCTTTCTGGCAAATGATGAAGCCAGAAAAAGGAAACCCAAGGGTACGCTTCTGTACAAACCACTTGTACAAAGCCGCTTCGAGCATTTCGTCTTTCGCGGTTTTCATCACCTTGACGCTCGTTGATGCTCCTTGTTCTGTCACAGACTGGCGAAATTCTTTGATTTTCGAAGCATTCTTCTTGATGTTGGATATTGTGCTCCTGTCGACCCCGTATCTCTCGGCCAAAAAAAAACTCTTTTTCGGGCTGATCCACACAGCCAAGGTTTAACGTCCCGGGTACTGTTATTCACATTGCTTCCGAGGACGGATCCATAGAGCAAATGTACCCAGGAGGATCAAGGCCGAGTACCTGCATATTTTTCCGGCAGCAGGGATCGAACCCACACCGCCTCCCGCGCGAGCGGCGTCGTTGCGGCTATGCACGTTTGCACGAGTAGTGACAAACGCGCTAACCACTCGACCACCCGTCGGTATCTCTCGGCCAGAGAAGCTTGAGTCTCGCCTCCTTCAAGCGATTGGAGGATTTCTTCTTTCTGCTCGAGGGTCAAAACGGTTCTGGTCTTCCTTACGATCATGATCACGCTCAGTGTGACACAGGTGGATAATTCACGTTCGAGGGAAAATCACAAAAATCAGCAACAGAGTTCCCGGGGAATGTAGGGGCACGCAGCTCGGACCGCTTCAGTGTACCGAATGAAACAGTCGCTCGGCTTCCAGGAGCGTTCTTCCTCTTCTCGTTGTCTCCGGTCTCTTTTCCGCCGTGCGACGAATGCTTCTCAGAGAATTCAGAGCCTCTCAGACGATGCGGAGTCGACCCTGATTTTCTCTGCCGACAGCAAAAAGAAACATCCTCCTCATGTTACCTACCTCTGCCTGCTTCTTCGACGCCTCGAGCTCTTCCAGTGACGGATCTCTATCGGGATTCTTCGACTTGCTCTAGCCGATCGGTGGAGCAGAATCAACCAAAAAATATTACCATGACTCGAGAGATAACTGAACAGATTGAGATCATGGCTGGTTCTATCGGTGTGATATAATCGAGAGGACGGTAGAGGGTGATATAATCGAGTCTCCATTTGTTTCTATGGAGTTTGTATCCGGAGGGTGATATAATCGAGTCGAAAATGTGATATAATCGATTTCCCATGGAAGTCTATGGAAACTCGATTATATCACACTCTCGATTATATCACCATTTTTGGACACGAATTAGGTGATATAATCGAGTTTGTACTGTAAATCACGATGCAAATGCAGATCGTGATCCTCCTTCTGGAATTCGGAGCAGGGACGTACTTCGAGTACGCCACTATCTGCCTCCCGAAGTGCACCTGCTGCCAGATGCCATGCACCATCAAACTTTTTCGGGCTGATCCACACAGCCAAGGTTTAACGTCCCGGGTACTGTTATTCACATTGCTTCCGAGGACGTATCCATAGAGCAAAAGTACCCAGGAGGATCAAGGTCGAGTACCTGCATTTTTTCCGGCAGCAGGGATCGAACCCACACCGCCTCCCGCGCCATGCACCATCAGAGGAATTGAACCGAACTACTTCCCAATAGACTGCTACCTTTTCGGCCCAAGAATGCTCAAGAAAGGCATTACCGAAGATAGCATGTCTGTTGTCAAACGGAACGGTATTGGGAGGAGTCGCAAGTTGAATTGTTTATTACAATTATGCGAATCACACTCCCCAAGGTCCGGAGTTTCGGACAGCCCCGATTCGCAATATCATGATACTACTCAAGGTACTTGATCAACCTACTTATCCTTTTCTTTTGTCTTCATAATGAATTTCCGATCTTGTGTGATATAAAGACTCGAATTTATCAGACGAAGACAAGAGGATTAAAATTAGGACATACCACTCGGTACTTAGCATATTCGCCAGGGAGGATGAACATCTCATCTCCGGCATACTGACGAATATTCACTTCCATTTCTGAAGCGATCCTGACAGATCTGCGTATTAGAACGCATTCCCTATCCGAGTCAGATCAACAGATGTGGTTGTGATTAGAATGGGTACAACGAAATCTAGACCAAGAGAGATGAACTCTTATCACTGAAACTTCAGTAGAAGCTCGATTTCCCATGGAAGTCTATGGAAACTCGATTATATCACACTCTCGATTATATCACTATTTTTGGACACGAATTAGGTGATATAATCGAGTTTGTACTGTAAATCACGATGCAAATGCAGATCGTGATCCTCCTTCTGGAATTCGGAGCAGGGACGTACTTAGAGTACGCCACTAACTGCCTCCCAAAGTGCACCTGCTGCCAGATGCCATGCACCATCAAACTTTTTCGGGCTGATCCACACAGCCAAGGTTTAACGTCCCGGGTACTGTTATTCACATTGCTTCCGAGGACGGATCCATAGAGCAAAAGTACCCAGGAGGATCAAAGTCGAGTACCTGCATTTTTTCCGGCAGCAGGGATCGAACCCACACCGCCTCCCGCGCCATGCACCATCAGAGGAATTGAACCGAACTACTTCCCAATAGACTGCTACCTTTTCGGCCCAAGAATGCTCAAGAAAGGCATTACCGAAGATAGCATGTCTGTTGTCAAACG